ATGGGGTGTCTTGTTGAATCGGCATTGAATAGTAACAGGTCGCCGGTGATGGTCGTTGTGACTTTGTTGCATAAGTCACCCTCGTTTCGTCAGATGCCGCTTCGCTCGAAGAAGTCTCCAGTTGAAATGCCTGTCGAACTTCTGAAACAATCTCGGCGATCAAAATAAAAGCCGGGCAACTGATGGCAGGAACTAGCTTCCTTATCTCCTCCCGGACACCGTTGTGAATGATGTCACGGATGCCTGGACGACTCGAGTGTCGCGACGCTGGGGAGTTGTTGATAGTGACATGCTCGGACCTGCAGTGTACATTCAATGCTGGAAGCTTCATTGATATGAACCCTTCGACTGTTGTATGGGGTTGGAGACAAGGCTGCTGAAGGTGTTGTCCCTCACATGAGGAACATGGGATTCTTAGCTTCTTGTCTTCTGTAGCATCAGGGTTGGCGTGGGTGCTCGATCAGAAGCAAAACATCCTCCACGAAGGTGGTGACGCTCTCGTTGGGGCCGTGCCCTGGACAGAATCAGGAATTCGGCTCTCTCTCGTCAATGTTGGCTGATGAACATGCACTTCAGCTCGATCTTGCAAACTTCCCACGACGTTAAGGAGGATTCGTGGTTCTCAAACCAGTGCCTCGCAGTTTCTTCCACGAGAAGTATAGGTTCTGCAGGAGCTGGTTGTCCATCCACCCACTGTGGCGGGCGACACGGTCATATTATTCAATCCAGCCCTCGACGTCTTATGCACCTTGCGTGAAAGGGCATCAGAGTGCGAGGTGCGACGGGCATGCAAACGATGGTGGGAGCGGACGTAGTTTGCTGCTACAGGTTTGTCATTGTTGGCTTAGTCAGCTTCGGTTTTTGCTGGCAAAAGACCTAATTCCGGCGGTTCTTGCTGGTAGCAGCGACCGGCTTGGATTTCAAGTTCTTCGTGGTGTATTTCCGAGTCACGTCCTTGTGGTACCCGCTCGTCTTGCGGTATTTCTGCCAGGCTCAAGATAGGACTTGGTTCACGGCTCGCCAGGGGTTTAAGACTCGGGATAATGTGCCACCTGTGTCTTGTTATCGGGCAACTCGGCTGAGGAGCCGCCAGGGTACACACAGTGAAGGGCTATGGGTAAAGTGCGCAGCACCTCCACCAGAACATACAATGACAGCTGAGCATGGCCTGGAACTTTCCAGAATAGTAAATATTGATAGAAAATAGGACTGGAGCAAGCATCTGCGGCAATATAACAAAACAGACAGAAAAGAGTCTATCCTGACCACTAAAGAAGCTGCACTGCTTTAGTGGCATTCTGTTCGAACAAATCCTCTCCTTCGGGGTCTGGCGACTGCCGTGGACGAGCTGAACTGAAATAGATGTGAGACAACTTTTCTGGTAACGAGCCGCTGCAGACCGCCGTCGCAAAGCGGCGTGAATGGGTGGACTGGGTAGGTAACACGCGCAATGAAATGTCCATACAGCTTGCAATTCGCGTAACGAGTGTTGATGAAACTTTGGTGTCGACGAAACGTGCGACAGACCAGCGGAATCAATACCAACTGCAACACCTATGCTCCGTGAAGGTGCAAGTCTATGCCAGAACAATTTAGTAGGCAGCACAGCATCACCTAAAGCATGGCACAGGAACTACCAGTTTGAGGGCAGCTCTTCGGCGCGCCGCACACCTGTCCTCCGTGAAAGTGCACGTCTACGCCGGAACAATTTGGGAAGCAGCACAGTATCATTTAGCACAGCACGGGAACTACAAGCGGCAAGGCATCTCTCCGGTGCACCGCACAACCAAAGTGAGCCTTCAGGCATTTAAACAAAGCGACATCACGATTGCACACTGCCAAGCACGACTCATGCAATCTCCGTCGCTAAACTGTGTATCCAAATGTATTGCACACGCTTTACTGCAGATCTCGAAGGTTCCGATGGTCAACGAGAGCACAGAAACGTCGCCTTAAATTTTATTCTAGCGGTATCCGAATCAATCCGAGGTGCGAGCAACGTAGGGCAGATTGTCTCTTCCGTGGCAATATTGCGCTCGGTCACCAGCAAAATGCACACCGTTCCTCCGTATTTTCACCTTGTACCTACGTCAGACATCACGCTGAACTCTGAAGTCGCTGTTGACCGGCCTCATATGACGGCTTCTGCGTCTGAAATCGACTCGCCGAGACGAACGAGAACCAACAAAGCACCCGACAAGCTCCGGCCCAGCTGGGGCCAGCCGCTGCATGGGCGCTGCCATCTTTCCTGTGACGTCACGCATTTGGTTCGGTCATGTGACGAGTGGTCAACTTTGCGTACAATGGCAGCCGCCTTATGGGGGTCACTTTCGAGTGCAGACCGGAACCCTGGTTTATCGCTCTAAGCCCTCTACCTCGTTGCAAAAGGTACTCATTGGCTAAGAGTTTGATTGACAGCTTAGAGCTTGGTTGTTAAACCTTTGTTATATGTTGCAATTTCGTTTTGAGCGGCATATTTTTACGTTTAAAGAACAACCCATGTGATGAGAGTTATTATTCTTTACAAAAGGTTTACAAGACGGGCACTTCCGTTTGGATTCATACAAACAAAAGCTTCGCGATTCTTTCATGGCCGCCGAAGTCTCTGCTCCCGCCTGTCTCGCCTACCTCGACTAATCGTTTCGCCGAAGTGATCAGTGTTTCGTCGTTTCGTGCTGACCCAGGTGCTTGAGTGAGACTTCTTGAAGTGAAGTAGTGTGTGTTTAGCAGCTGTCGCAGGTGTTAGTGATAGGAAGCGACGCGGCGTTTTGGCTTTCATAGCGCGGCTCTTTCGTTTTCCTCTTTGCTTGCTTAGCGTGCTTTTTTTTCTTTTTTGCTTGTTTGCGCGTGCAAATGCTGACTTTTCGGAGATGTCAGATGCGTGATCCCGACAGTGAGCCTTCCAGCAGCCATGTCGCCCCGAAAGGAATGCTATTTGGCTGGAGGCAATCGGGCGTTCGCGTAGCGACCAACGTGTCTAGTTACGTTCTCGTCATATCGCTCTGGAGGCCGTCGAGATTCGCCCCGTGTGCACCTAACGTCCGCGACTAAACAGAAAATGAAAAAGCACTACGTCCACTACGTAAAAATGGTCTCAGTTCATGCATCTGTAGGCAGGTACGAAATCGTGCACAAATTTATTCACACCTCACGATGCAACACGTCGCTGAGCAAACGCAGTCCAACACGAAGCATAAAAACGGCAGATTTAGGACAACAATTCGGAGTCCGTTGTTCAATTAAAACGACGTAATTTTGTTGAAAACGACCACAGCTTTTTACTCACGGTATGCGTCGGGAAACTTCCACATTTTGAAACAGAACGAGGCAGATTTACTTCTAAAAACGCTCCCAGCGTCCTTCCGGGCCAGTTTGACTGGATCAGCTGACGACGACGGGACTTAACTGGTTGAACGTCAACCCCACAACAACCAATTTGCGCTCCGTGTTAGCACCGCATTACACACACCACGAACGTTTCAGCTCTGTCGCATCGCCGTGTTGCACCAAACAGAACGAGATCGCCGAAACCAACGGAGCGCTGTCGTGAACCTTGGCTTGTGGTTGCGCACTCGTGGATTCTGTGACTTCCTTCGCTTTCAAAGCGCGCACGACGATTACGAACGATACTTTCCGTCTTCCGGGAACATCACAGGGGCACTTCTCCGGTCACGTCTTCGCTACATGTGCTCGCAAACCGCGTCCAACCAAAACAATACCGCGGCCTGGCTGGCCTGGCGTAGTTGCCAGATCTTGCCGGAAGTCGAGACGCTGCGCCGGAGAGTGAGGGGCGGGGCGTACTCCCCTTCCGCGGGGGTCGAAAGAGCGGGAGTTTCAAATGTGGAGAGGTTCTGACTCTACTAAATTACGTCCTGTGGCGTAAATATTGATAAAAAAAATAATTTTTTTCGCGGAACATTTGTTTTGTGACATGCTTGTCCCAATTAGACTGTTTAAAAAAAACTTTTTTTTCTTTGCAGTTACCCTTTAAGAAAAACTGGCACTTAAAGAGATGCTGAACCGAAATCTGGATTTTGCAAAGTAAGGCCGCAGAAGCGTTATATGGGACGCTACGAACTCCAAAACATCACTCGTACATCAATATCTCAAACGGACGGCCGTATTTTTGGAAAAGAAGGGAGCGATCGCGTGACGAATATGACGTCACGATTCTCCTAAAACAGTTCAGAATAAGGGGAAGCGGCCTCGCTTCTCTCCTCCTCGCTTCAATTTACCTGCTTGAGGGGACGAAGCAAAGAGGAGAGGGAACAAGAATCGCGACGTTAAGTCTCGTCGGCCATGTTCAATCGTGCACCTCTTTTCCAAAAATATGGCATCTGTTAGAGATATTGCTATATGAGCAATGTTTTGGGGTTTTCGCAGCGTCCCGCCCACCGCTCCAGCCTTGTTTTGTGAGCTCCAAATTTTGGTTCAGCATCACTTTAAGGGGTTAAAGCTTGGCAGTTTTCCAAGACCTCCTACTAAACTCAACAGAATCCAATCGACGTTGATCACGTGACCCTTCCACCACCCAATCGGCGTTGAGTTTCGCGGTTGATTTTTGGGCTTCACTAAATCTAGCGAGGCCCATGGCCTCGCCTTGCCATGGCGAGGCCCATGGCAAGCCAAAGAAGGCTTCACGTTAAAATATCGATTTGGGGGTGTCAGTGGCCCTATAAGCATACCACATTTAGTGACTCAACCGTAACCAACAAAATGAGGATGGCAGAGCATCCCTTTCGAATACCTAGCCTCCAGCACGTGCTTGTTACCCTTCACCCTGCATTGATTCTGTGCGCACGCTCAAGGTTCTCAAGGCACGTCGAAGACGTGCCGAGATGCATTGAGACATCATTGAAGGCCAGAGCTTGAGCTGGAGGAGGGACAAATGAAGGACTCCCTGGTCCCTGAATGTTAGCACTGTCAGCATTTGGAGTCAGGCAATTTCAATATTGTTCGCTTACGGAGGAGCTTCAACACTCAACCACGGTGCTCTCTACCTGTGCGACTGCAGGAGTGCCCGATGTAGGTGGCCTCGCTTGCAAAGGACGTCCCGCATGACTCGCAGCGAAATCGGAAGAGGTCCCTGAGGACGCAGCCGTGTCGACGGAGGGCCCCCTTGGTCGCAAACGCCGTCAGACAGTGCGGGCACTTGTGGCGAAGGTTGCCAGACTCCAGACGTTTTGCAGGCTCCGGACTCCTGGGTTTCTGGGCGTCGTCGCTGCACTCTGAACGTAAATGAGAGCATGTTGGTCCATGAGTCGGTGCAGTCTTAAACGCTCCTCGTACCTAGGTACCTAGAAAGTTGGGAAGTAGAATATTATGTGTTAAGACTGAACCTTGGGCCATACTCGGTGTTAACTAATTTGTACTAGATTCTCGAGGCAATCTCCGCACTGCTGCGAGAGTGTGTGGCTTCGTCTTATGCCTTATTCGCATGAGTTCACGCAACTAGCTTTAACGGAGTTGGAGGACTGAGGAAGCTAGTCTAGCATCGACAATGTGACAGAAAATGGTTGATGCCGTGTATAGTTAGTGAAGCACGCTTTCAAATCACGAGAATAGCTGGGGCACGCAAGAGACAACAAAAGAAAGGAGTGCACCAACAGTGCTGTGCGTGTCTGTGCACTCTCCATCGAGGTTGTCTTTTGTGTGTGGTGTTCCCAATGCTTCAAAGCATTGGGAACCACCATGCCACTGAAATCTGACAAATTTGGCAGCTGACAGGCAGCACTATCTCAGATTGTGCATTTTTTTGTTGCTCTTTTTACTTTTCTGGAACAAGCCCAGAAATGGCACCGGCAACACAATCTGCGGTATTTTGCAGGACGGGCGTCCACCCCTGCACTGGGCACAGTGTTGCCAACACACCACAAACCTGCCATCCGCTGTATGTTAATAAATTAATCCCCACGTTCTGCTTATAAACTCGGGCTACATTTCTGAGTGACGTGCATGCAGGTCGCAGACACCTTTGAATGAGAGTCCTACTAAGATGCAGACGACGCTTGTACTGAGTCCGTTGCAAAACATTGGGATTGGTATTAACATACAGTGGATGGCACCCAACTATTTGTACTTCGCAAGTGCACCACGCCTTTGGGAATGCTTAACCAAGGTTGTCCGCTGTGGCAGAGATGTTTGTGACCATGTCTGAACTAAGATTGAATGCGAAAGTTAAACTATAATGTTTTAAATTACATTTTGCCTCTTTCCTGACCAAACACATAGAGCAGGGGGTGTACAGCATGCGGCCCGCGGACATGACGCTGCGAGATGTGCTCAAGAAGGCAACCAGTGCAATGATGCCAGATATTGAAAATCTGTCTGCCAGATATCGAAAACCTGTCTGCCAGCTAGATATTGAAAACCCGCTCAGTTCCCAATAAACATTCTTTTGGCCCGCGTCATTTTTCAGTTGTGCACCCCAGATATAGAGTGTCGATCACCTGTGACCAACCGGCATGAAAGCCCATCTCAGAAATCCTGCGGAGCTCTCGGAGATCCGAGTGCATGCAGCCACTTGTGGAGTGCCGGCCGAAATGAAGCCACTCCTCTCTGCCAGAGGGCACGCATCGGTATGAGTGCAGTGAAACAAGCTCGCTATTAGAAAGTACTTTGAAAGCACATTGTATTTATAGCACTTTACTTCAAGTACATTGCACCCGGTGTACTTACTGCTACTTCACTTGAAGTATGTAACCTCTCATTAACTTTGTACTTTACTTCAAGTACTTTTAAAATGTACTTTACCCAACACTGCCTTACTCACCCCGTGGCACCAGCTACGAATTTTTACGGCAATTGCTGTTATGCACTTTTCCCCCCACTCGAACTGATGCAGCTGTTGTAAAGCATCCGTGGTCGTGCCTAATGCTTGAAAAAGATCCCCAAAACACACCGCGATTTTGTCGGGTGTCGATCTCAAGTCCTCCGACTGTGAAACGAGCACACTACACACTACGGGATTTTGCCAACTGCTTCCCAGTGCCACCTAATAAACTGCACATGTTAAGGACAGCTGAGCATACGAGTCGCCTGCGGCACCCACTAGATGGCCGCAGTTGCGGCAACGTTGCATCAGGCCTCATCTGTTAGAGGGCTTCCGAGGGTATAAAATAAATGAGGTGTCCCTCTCCAAGCACGCATTGGCAATAGTCTCTCCACGTAAGGTGTAAGATACATAAGGGTGCATTAGGGTCTGAAAAAATGTCCAGTGGATTCACACAGGTCAGGACTGCTCAATTTTTAAGTCAATGTTTTAAAGCACGATTACGACATACTGAGGACAAGCAAAAATTATATGAATGCACTATGCCACCCAAAAGGAAAATAGAAAGTAAATTATAACTTTTTGGCCAATTAACAAACTAATGCACCCATTTTACCTCCTTTCTAGTGCCCCCCCCAATGCCACTAAATAGGTCCCAGGGCTAAAAAAAGCTCCTAATGCAAGCTTCTCCATTTTTTTAAATTCTGGACTAACTAAGAAAAAAAGATCATAAAAAGCATATTAGCCAGGTTCGGAGTACTGAATTTATATGTATTGACGTTACAAAATAAGCGGCTACATCTATTCAGTTGGCCGCATGTGCTTGCCACTGAATAATGGCAAATTTGTCTTCTGCACACTTGCCTGGTTTTTGGTGTATTTCCTTGTGCGTATGAGCTCCTGAAGTGTCCAAAAAAAAAAATGTTGAGACGCTGCAGAAAAAGGGAAGGTACAAAAGGAGCCGGAGTCACTCGCGGGGCCCGCAAAGAATCGCTTAACGACGACTTCACTGTTACCCACCACCATTTTTAATTCCTCTTTCTTTTATCTTCAAACTATAAGCTATGCTTCTGCAGCCACTTTAGCACCCTTCATTTGTCTGCCATGTTTGTTTGCATCCTCTTAATGCCGCACCATTAATGTGAACATGCAGAACTCCCGCTCTGCAATATGTGAATACAATGTATGAATGCAATTCAGGAGTAACAAATAACTCGTGCGCAGCTTTTGCTGGTCATGCAGATGTGAGCTGGGTGGTGCAATTGAAGGTTAAGAATGTGGTGCGGAATCAAATATCCGTCTTTATTGTTACCCAAGCTCAACTGCGTGGAAGTTTCAAGCTTCCATTTGAAGGTAGGTGACAAGCCCTTTATGTGCAATTTTTGCAAGTGCATTCTGACCCTAATCACTTCATTTAATACAATTAGAGCTATGAGACACAAAGACTGTCAGTGATTCTTTCCAAGGGCATGATTGCCTAACTTCCTCGCGCTTTTATTTTTTTAATTAACTATTGTTATATATTTTAAATATTTTTATGCTAAAGATTAAGATGTACTTTCCAAGTTTCTCTAAAAGACAATAAAATAAAAAAAAAAAAAATGTTGGTTCTGTATGCATTACATTTTTTTAATAGGAACGAGCTTAGAAGATTGCAAACGACCACGCAAAGTGTGCTGCGACTGACAGCGGCAGCTGCTGAGTCGTGGAAAAGCATGTTGAAGGAGTTTTGCCTTCAGCCAGTGTGCTGCAATGTTGGCGATGGGTTCTTCGTTTTCAAAGAAATGTGAAAGATGTATGCTTTGGTGGAACGATTGTGCGAAATGTTGGATGTGTTGAAGGACACAGAGAAAGCATCTTTTTGGGGCTGAAACACTCTTTCAGAAAGGGCGTGCCCGTACAATGCCCGTGGTAGAAGCAAAAGTATGTACGTAAACTGTTCTGTTGAAGCGCGGAGAGACACGAGAACGGATCATGGGTGGCAGCAGTGGGGAGGCGAGGGAGCGTGTCCACACAGCGTGGCCACATAGGTATTTCACAACTGTGGCTGTTGGAGGAGGAGGGGGGGGAAGGAGGATGGGAGAGCGTTGTGGGAGGGTATGTGAATACAGCAGGAACAATGAGGAGGCTGCGAGCGCTCTTTCCCCATGATCACACGGGTTTTCTTAGGAACAGCGGCGGCCTACGGGGAGGAAGGGGGAGCGAGGGAGAGCCTTGCCGTGTGAGAAATGACGGGGAGAGGGAGAGCAGTGCCTCTGCTGTAGAATGGGGTTTTTCATTTGTACAAGAGCATTTTTTGTCCGGAAGGGGTGCTAACAGCTACCGCTGTAAAAGCCACTGACAAACCAAGCATCTATATAATTTTTTTTTTTTTTTTTCCTGTAAATGGCTATGATACCAAAGGACAGCCCGAAACATTTTAAGCTTGTGAGCTGCTATTTGGAAAAAAAATATATTCTCAGAAAGCCCGATTTCAGATTTGTGGCCGAATCTATGACACAGATGGCAAAATGATGCACTCTTTGCCTTTTTGTGACAACTTCATACAAGAAGTGTCATTTAACTTTCTCTCTTCCCTTCTCGTCGATCACGGCAATCACGAGCACTCGCGTCAGCCAACCGGCCAACCACGCACCTATTTTGGTGTGCACTCGCCACAGGACCTTCTACCACATGCAGATGACACATCACCTTTACGTTTGATTTTTTTATCAGTGTTTTATTTAGTGGGGTTTAAAGACCAAGTTTGGGAGGGGGGACAAACTTTTAATCTACTGTTTCGCAAAATAAATTTTTTTTCTCACAATTAATAATTTTTTAGCTATATCAAATGCCCCCGAAGCATTCGAGACTGTAAAAAAAAAGTGACAGGTTAACAGTTCAGGGGAAACTTTTCCGATCTATTTCTACTTTAGCAGAGCAAATGCTGGAGAGGAGGTCGCCTCATCTCCAGCATTCGCTTTGCTAACGTGGAAAGAGGTGGGAGGAGTTTTCCCTGAACTCTTGACCTGTAACTGAGTATAGGTGCTATTTCTAAATAATTGTCTCTTAGTAGCTTTCTGTAAGAATTCATTGAACCGATAAGTTAATTATACCTATGCGACTCTTACTGATTCGTTTTGTTGTGTCCCCTCTCTGAATATTGTCATTTCATGGGAATTATTTTTTTCTTGAAAACATCTATCTCTTGCAGTGATAACCACACCACTGAAAGTTTGTGGCTTAAACTAAAGCACATATTTATTGCATGTTCGATAATCTTTCTAATATAAAATCAGTTTTCTAGCCACATTCTTGTTCACAACTTTAATTCTAGATTAAAACCACGTGCATGTCAACAACAACAACAAATTGCGTTTTTACACCGCAATATTTTTCCCATAGTTATTATAATGTACGCTAGAGGTTCAACTGGTGCTAGTGTCTGTGCGACTTCCGGGACGCAAATTGAAGCAGACAGTCTACATTTGCAGTGCTCCTGTGCATTCCTATGGGAAAACGTGCGGGAATTTTGTTTCTTCGCTGGAAAATAACATGAATAACTTGGGTTATTTCGGTTGTACCGGATAGTATGTGCCTTTATTAATATTGTGAATGCGTGATTGCTTTAGTTACACTATTTTTCTTTACCACTGAACTACGTTAGACTTCCCTATATTTCAGGCTCAAATCTCTGTTCCATGGCAGGTATGTAAAAACGAGCGACAATTCTAAGCAAAATAATGATCGAAAGGAATGTAGTGTGTGTTCAAGGTTCGCTGGCATTCTGGTGGTGCTTATATATTGCTAATATGCCCGTTCTCTCACTATATGAAAATGACTCCGTCGTGCATGTTTACTATCAATTCAGAAAATGTAAAAAAATAAAGTATGTGGCCTACGATAGGTGTGTCTTTTTATTACTTCCTATGTCAGGCAGTTTTTTATTGGGCACTTGCTCTCTGGCTTCTCCCCATTTGCAAAGATTTGAAGCCTGCGGGTGGTGATTTGAACCCAGAACGAGCATCTTCACATATATTCGTGAGCAGAAAGAATAAAGCAGTACTTATTTACTGCAAATCGGACTATATTATGTGGCTTTCAATTAAATTTGATCGTCTGCATGCACAAGGAGTTGCTTATCCAGTTTTACTGCATAGTTCTTGCTGTCTGTCTTGGTTCTCCACATGTCCTTTATTCGTTTGGCACGTGTATCCCCCATACTGGAAAGCGCTGACGCCGTGTTCACACTAACAGTGTCTGATACTGCACATAAATACATGTACAAAGCGGTTTTAGCACCGTTTTTCATGACACAAATTTTAAATAAAAATGCCGTAACTGATTTATTATATTGTCTGCGTGATTGAGAAATGTTCCAATGTGCCTAGTAGGTACAAATTATTCGTGATATTTGCTCTTATAATCGAGCGCGGAGAGAAAATGGACTCGCTTTTTCTCCTAGAAATGCATTACCCGAAGTCAATTTCCCACTGGTTGCTGTCTGCTTCAATTTGCAGCAGCACACTAGCGCCAGTTGAACCTCTAGCGTAAATTATGATAACTCTGGCCGTGTTCCAAAATTTGCTCGATCTTAATCCAGGGCAGCGCATTTTAATCTGTGTTGTCACGAAACATGACCCGCCGCAGTAACTCGGATTTATTTAGTACACAGCCTTTGTGATTTTTCCTTCACCGGTACGCCGATGGCAACACGACCGCAGCCGATGGCGTCACGGGAGTAGCGCGGCAGCTTTAGATGTCGGGCGGTGTCAAGTGGCAAAAGGAACACGCTCAGGCTTGTGCGGCAAACTCAAATCGGGAAGAACACGTGTTTGAAGACTTCAAACGCCACTTCGACGTTGGATTCGGCGACAACTAAACTTTCTTGCACGCAGGTTTTACCGGTTATTAACTGCCCGATCTTTCTGTGTGTGTGTGTGTGTGTGATAACACACACCACAGCGCACTATAGCAAATAACACTCACACCTTACACACGAAAAATAAAGCAAAATTCAAACAAACCGCGCTGAGTGTTATCATGTGCAACCGACTCGCCCAAGCTGCTACGTTAATGTGTGTGTGTTTTTTTTTTCAGCTTTGACGGTTCGGCAGAACGGAGTTTTTGCATCGTTAGAACGTCGTTTGCGATAAAACACTGCCAAAGTTGTTGGCGCGGGCCCAATTAATAGAGCGTTTGATGCGCACGCGCTGTCGTGCAAATGAAAGATGAAGTCGCACGTTCGGCCGACAGCACTGCTTGCCATTAACAATGCGTTTTCAATAAGACAAACGCGCCCTACCTTCACTACCTTGTTGAGACAAAGTAGCGCAGTCCGCACTTTCTGCGTTGTCCTCTTCAGGCGCTTTCAAGAACAGAAGGGGGTCCCATTGAATTACGGGGTACGAGGAAGACTCTTGCATGCGGATTGCTGAATGCATTCTGAACCCACCCGCCTGCGACTTCCAAAATAACTCGATTTAGTTACGGGACACCGACGCACTCGGCCATCCGACGTCGAAGGGCTGACAAGGCAACGCACAGAAAACGTAAACCCACTCGCCCAGTGACGGAAACGGCGAAACCAAACGCGAAACTGGCGAAACGTCGAACGTACAAAAACAAAAAAATAACTTGGCATATTCCGAATCGGGCGGTTACTTGCGCCATCTACGCTGCTATTTTACACCACCCAGCACAAACCATGGCCTCCGAGATCCCGAAGCGCGTGAACGCTTCTCCGGCCGTCCCATTCGTGCGGAGAGGGCGTAATTGAAAAAAGAGAAGGAGGCGGCGTGTCTCCGCGGGGAGGCGCTCCCAACCCAGTCATCGACAGCATGGCGCGAGGCTGAAGAGTTCAAGAAAAAGTCTTGTTACGTCGAGTTACTGCAACTTATAATTAAAAATGTTTGTGTATTGTGGTAGAACGATGAATAGCTGCTCCGGGGACGTAGATAGAAAATTTGTGATGCTTATTTAATTATTTAATTTCAGATATTCATCTGGACATGTTGCGGCTAGCGCTACAAGCGCGCCTTTTGATATATTTGATTGCAATCTGTAGCACGTATAAAACTAAAAAAAGAAAAGCTCCGTATATAAAAAAATTAGTACTTCCCTAAATAAAAATATTCATGCTGCAATATATATATTTTTTTACCTTCGCACGTTGTTTGGCATAGCTTTATGAGCCTCACGAGGTTTTATACGATATATGAGCTCCGTGTTGTCCTTGTTTTAATATTTTTAATATTACGCAATTTTTGCGGGTCGTATTGCGGTGTTTGCTTCTACTAGAAGTACCTTTAAGCCGAGGTCACACTGCTTATACATTATACAAAAGAGAGTCTGCAGATATCAGTCACCACGATATCCGTGGTTCAAACGCTGCGTGCCAACTCTCTAATTGAACTGCCTTGCGGCATTCGAAGCTCAGATCTCGTGGTGACTCGACCGTGAATCTGTTCGCAGACTGTCTTTTGTATCATGTACAAGCAGCGTGACCCCGGGTTTGGGGAAAAACCTCTGGCGGTGAGGTACAACGTTCACCTCGCAATGATTTCGCCATTTTTTTTTATAAACCTCGTGATAATTGTAGGTACTCATTGAAAAGGTGGGGCGTGATCTTGTAAACATCTAGTTTTTGGCATATGTAGCGCAGACCACCGTATACCGTAATGCACTTTGTGATATAACTTAATTGATACGCAAACAAACAATGGGATCTCAGGACAAAGAACTCTGGTTTATCCGCTATCCATTTCCGACAGCCGTCGCAGCCCAACCCGAAGCTAACTTTCACGGGCACGCTGCGCTTTATTTTAGCCCAGTATGAATAGCTCACAAATTGCGCGGCATGGCAGCTCGCTTGCAACTGCTACATGTATATACGTTGATTACGATGCTTACAGTAAATACTGTAAGCATTTTATTTTTGCTGATATTATTATTCGACTAATCTGCAGGCGTAGGCAGCTTGTTAAGAAAAATCACCCGATCTTCCTGTTCTGCGACCAAACACGCGCGGAAAGAACGGAAAAAAACAAAAATGACAAGTAGAAGTAAACAAAACCACGTGTCACAGTTGGAAAGGAAGGGACACATCGCGACGGGTTTGGACAAAAGACGGGCAAAGTTCTAAATTAGCCACTTTCGCTGCGCACAACCGTAAAAAAAAAAAAAATAAAAAAAAAATAAGAATTGCAATGTCGTCGTCGCTTGCGGTGGTCTGCGAGAAATTGTTCAGGAAAAGTACCCCTCCGGGAAACCTCTTCACCCCTATTGGGGATGCAAGCACTCGTGCGTACAGATGGTTTACGCCGGCGAGGGTGCACACGTTGTTTAGGCGCGTGTATGTGCGTGTTTGCGGTGAGAAGCGCTTGTATGATGGCGGCGCCGCCGGGGACAAAAAGAAACGCCGTGCCGCTAGTCCTCTGGAAGAGCATTCGCTGCACACACCGAACCATACAAAAACATATACCCACACACACATTCTTCAGCGTCTGTTTAACCTCACTGTGGTTCCTCTCCCAACCTCCGAAGATAATTCCAAAGAACAAGCCGTTAAAAAAAAAAAAAAAAAAGAAGAAAGTAATGGTCGGTTTGGCTTGCTTTGGCCCCCCTTGTAGATGTGAATACAAGGCCCGTACCCGGCCCGGTCCCTACAGATTGCAATCAAATATACCAAAAGGCGAGCTTCTAGCGCTAGCCGCACATGTCCAGATGAATATCTCAAATTAAATACAGTAATTAAATAAGCACAACAAATTTTCTATCTGCGTCCCCAGAGCAGCTGTTCACCGTTCTACCACAATACACAAAAATTTGTAAGTATAAGTTGCAGTAACTCGACGTAAGAAGACTTTTTCTTGAACTCTTCAGCCTCGCGCCATGCTGTTCATGACTGGGTTGGGAGCGCCGCCTCGCGGCGAGCGACGGAGTTAGCGCAATTACACTCTTCTGCTGGGGAGCGAGACGAATGGGACGGCCGGAGAAGCCTTCGCGCGCGCGCTTCGGGATCTCGGAGGCCATGCACAAACTTATGTAATTATAATTTTTTTAATTTCAAGATATGTGTGACAGGAAGTTTATCACAAGCTCTAGAAAATTGTTTTGGGGATTTTGCTTACAGGTAACTTACGCCACCTTGGCGCGGTCCGTTTTGTGAATTTTGCGAACTTGCTCCGGGAAAAACATAAAAAAACGCCAATGCACCCGTTAGGAGGCGAAAGACACCGTCCAAACCTCGTGCCTTTTTTTATGTCTCTCCTCTAGGGTCGCGAGCAGTATTGCCAGGTCTACTGATTTACTGATTTATCAGTAGATCTACTGATTTCGTTCCGGGTCTACTGATTCACTGAAAAACAAGAAAATGTACTGACTTTTTTTTTAGTAAACATATTAAAAATTTATTATATGGCCCCTTCAGTTCCCAGTGCAGCCCATCAAAGGAAACTCATAATGTCCCAGAATTAAGAACGAAGCACTGGCAAGATGGCCCAGAAGCCCGTCCTATTCGAGTGACGTAGTCGTATATTCATCTATCTATTCACCCAGAGCAGGTTCGGCAGGTTCGATGGTGACATCCGGGCCAGAGCCATATAGACCGTTTTATCGTGGGTAGCGCCATTTTGAGAGCGAGAGAGAAAAGGGGAAAGGGCTACCGGAGCTTTCCCCCTTTCTGATTGTGTAGAAAGTGTGAAAGTCCCGGATGAGAGGCTTGGCCGGTGCTGGGCGTCTGCAGTGCCCCAACTTCGTTCGCGCTTTCTTCTACGTTTTAAACGCCCAAACTTAATTAGAGCCATGGTCTTCGATGGCGACAGTCCCCCGGTCATCGGGACACCATTGCTGGGTGATAGGGTGCACGAATAACGACAGAAAGCGTCGAATCCTGTCCGAGGACCTATGTAGCTTGCATGGAATCCGGCAAGGCAAGTACGGCTGAAATATTTTTAAGCTCCATTGCTTTCCGCATGACTGGAAATGATGAACCATTTATACATTTTTGCTTGCAATGGGCCTATTTCAACGTAGCCGCTTTTAGTTGTAATCAACAAGCGATACACGAAAAGGAAACCTCAATTAACTTTGTAAACGCCCGGAGCTGCTACATCTCGTCTTGCTGTGCTGTTTTTATCTTCGTGTCTCTGTTCTTATATCTCCTTGTGAATGAACGACGAAGACGCTCTAGGTGTACTTTTATCGAACCGCAGAAAGCCTAGAAGCAGCCACGAATTATTTTACTATTTGATGCATTATTTTGAGTACTCACCTCCAATTTCAATCGCTGGCACGTTCGCTGCCGCTGTTCCCCCCGTGGCCACACTGGCGGATGCCATGACTCAAACAAAGAAACGTGCACACTGGGCTCGAAGACGCAGATCGCAACACACGAGACGTTACTGCAGCGACTATCAAGCGCCTCAAAGCGCCTTAGTCAACGGAAACAACCCACCAGCGGCACTTCAAGGAGCGCTTTTGCCGGCTCTCTGGTATCGCACAGGAGATCGCGATTAAAAAACAAATAATAGAACTACGTTTTCAACAATTTCCAGCCTCACCCGGCGACGGAAATGAGCCTTCAACTAAGTGTTGTAGATGATAAAATCGAGTCAGTCAGCACTGCAAATTATCACTATTAAGATAAATTCAGTTACGAAATTTTACAAACTGAAACAGCAGTTATTATGAGAAAACTCGCACGCACATTGCGAGCGTACCCCATGTTCATCGGCGGTACAGCGTTCGGTGCGCGCTCCATTCACGAAATGTTCCGAGTGAAGTCGAGAGGATGGCGTTGAGGAAACGCCTTTTCGATTTACGGACGCAATCCACTGCCGCCGGAGACAGGGGTCAAGTGGAAAGCGATGGAGCTCAAAGACATTGCAGCCGCTCTCGCCTTGCCGGGTTCCTTGCAAGCTACATATGTCCTCGGACAGTATTCTATGCTTTCTGTTTTTATTCCTGCACCCTATGACCCAGCAATGGTGTCCCGATGACCGGGGGACTGTTGCCATCAAAGCCCGTGGCTCCAATTAAGTTTGCGAGTTCAAAACAGGAAAGAAAGCGCGAACGAAGTTGAAGCACAGCAGACACCCAACACCGGCGAAGCCTCTCATCCGGGAATTTCACTCTTTCTACACAATCAGAAAGGAGGAAAGCGGCGGTAGCCCTTTCCCCTTTTCTCTCTCGCCCTCTTTCAGTAAAACGGTCTATATGGAGAGAGTTTGGCTAGTCTATGATCTCGCCGTAACGTCCCTCTCCCGAGTGAGCCGATCAGCCCGCGGCGCAGAGCGAGAGGTGTTTGCGCATGCGCCTGAACTCTCGGATAGTTTCAAGTTGAGCGAAGAGAGCCGCAATTTTAATTCATTCGTTCGGCGGAATGCATGGGATCGACATCCAAATTTCAGTTATTTTTTTTTATTTGGCAGGCTGTGGCAAGAAAATGATATAATCCTATTCCTCGGTGGCTTAAAAAGCTAACGAATGAAGTTTCGCCACGTTTGAACGCAAACTTTGGGTCAGGCGAAAAAGAAATAAGCCCGTAGCAGACAACGCGTAGCCTCAACAGTGCTCCGGACCAACAGCGTTGCTTCAAAAACCTTCCACAGCCCAGTGAGGAAAGATGGCAGCATGCAGAGGACTTCCATTGGACGTGTTCGCGCGCACTTGCCGGAGCGTCTTGTTTCGGTTTTGTTTCAATAATAGCGACAGGTGAACGTCGCACTGTCGCCTTCATCTGT